ATTATAAGTACCCAAAGAAGCTATATATATAAAAAACCGGATACAAATAGGTGTTTTGCGAAATTGAGACCAATTTCAAATCTGTTCAGTTTTTTTTTTATACACCCTGTATAACTGAACAAACAACGGCAAAATCGTATATCTATTTGGATAGGTAGTGCAAAGAGCTAGACAAAGACGCATTACTTGCTTGTACATAACAAAATCTATATTATTGCAACTACCCTGTGTGCTGGCTTGCTATAGAAAGGGGAGGGCTAACCTATAGGCTTGCCATTTCTGGCAAAATTCCCAATTGTTCAAAGCACTACTACGGGGAATATGCCTTCACTTTTAATGGCCTAGAAACGTTAAAAATGTCAGAATATCAAGTACTAATTAATAAAGTTATTACCAAAATATAATACGAATAGGCAATTACAGCTATAGATTAAATTTTGATCTAGGCAAGAAGAACAAAATCCATCACCACAGCTAGAAAGAGCATGTTAAAATTAGTAAAATTGCAAAGTTCGGCCGCGAAAATTTGTTTACCGCGGGAAAATGCACCACATTTGTGCCAAAGTGGTGCATTTTCCCGTACGTAATACAATTTTTACAACATTTCGCAACCAAACTTTGCAATTTTACTAATTTTAACATGCTCTAATTTCTAGCTGTAGTGATGGATTTTGTTCTTCTTGCCTAGATTAAAATTTAGTCTGTAGCTGGGAATCATCCATTGTGAACAATAAATTTCATTAATAAATGTTGCCTAAGCAGAGACGGCATTAGGCTTGTGACGTATATACAGTCCTTGTACATAGGATATAATTAATGAGACCTAACCTACTTTCTAAGTGCCAGGAAAACGAGAAACTATACCAGCTTAATCTTTCTTTGCAATTATATAGACCTTCAAAGTATTTGAACCAAGGAGAATCATGTCTAAATATATTGTGGCATTCCTCGTACTATTCCTGGTAGCTTGTGGGCAAACAAAGTACCTGAATCTGAATTCGTACGTCTACTTAACTACACATTACTTCTTATTATCAACATAATCGTAACAATCACAGATCATAGTCACTATCACCACCAGCACCACCACCATTGCACGATCACATCACCACTATATCATCACCACCACCATCATAACTACCATCACAACCACTCGACCACCATCATAACTACTGGCACCACAACCACCACCATAACTACCACCACAACCACTACCATCACCACACCATCATCATCACATCACCATCAACCATCATCACCATTCACCATCATCACACCACAACCATCGCATCGCCATCACCATCACCACACCACCATCATCACATCACCACACCACAACCATCACATCACCACGCCACCATCATCACATCACCATCACCACACCACCATCATCACATCACCATACCACCATCATCACATCACCATCACCACACCACCATCATCACACCACACCACCATCATCATCACATCACCACACCACCATCATCACATCACCACACCACCA